GGGGCCTGAACTCTGGGCCTGGGCACTGTCCCTCAGCTCTTCAGCTCAAGGCTAGCGCTCTACCACTTGAGCCATAGCGCCACTTCCGGCTTTTTTCTTTTTGCTTATGTGGTGCTAAGGAATCGAACCCAGGGTCTCAGGCATGCAAAGCAAGCGCTCTACCACTGAGCCACCTTCCCAGACCCCTCACTTAGCTAAATTGATAGGCTAGTGCTCTACCACTTGAGCCATGCCTACAATCCAGTTTTTTTTTTTGCTGGTTATATGGAGATAGAAGCTCAGAGTTGTCTATTTTGGCTAGTCCTTAAACCCCAGTTCTCCAGATCTCAGCCTCCTGAGTAGCTAGGATTACAGGCATGAACCATTGGTGCCTAGCTCATTTCTTTATTTTCAGATAGGGTCTTACTCACTTTTCCCAAGCTGGCTGTGAACTGAGTCCTTCCACCTGTTTCATGAATAGCTGAGATTATAGGCGTGAACTACCGTGTCTGCAGAACATCAGCTCTCTGCAGGAGAGGTACTGCTCTGGAAGGCATCAGTCTGTTGCCAGGATTCACCCCTTTATCGTGGGGTGACTCAGGAGTCTCCAGGGGAAAGGCTCCCCCTGGCAGCAGCTGGTGATTAGTGGATTTAGATATGTCTCTATCTCACTGCTAGATTTGCTGTTGTGATGCCAACAGGCCCCAAATCACCCTCCAAGCCCCTCCTTTTCTGCATCTGGTTTTGCCTGCCCCAGGGTGACCCTTTTGTAATCTAGAAGATAATTAAGAGGAAAAAAATATATTCCAGTTGGCTGGTTCTGGTTGCTGTCAGGCCAAGACCATCCATCCATTGTGTAGGATTCAGGCAGTAGGACATGGTGGCCTCTCCCAGCGGGTTGAGGGGATCCATTTCTAACCCAGAAAGGCAAGAAGCAGGAGGCCCAGACCAGCATCTGCCAGAGCCTGTCCCAGGAGGCTCAGCCCAGGCCAGACCTCTGCCAATGCCCGCAGACACTGCAAGGCAGGCCTAGGCCCTTCCTCCTTGCCACTTTCTGGCTTTGCATTCATTAACCTTCCTCCTTTTGGGGTGTCAAGCCTCTCCTTGTTCATTATCCAGGACACTAGGGACAGGAGGAACCCAAGGTTACCCAGCTAACTTATTGTGAAGTGCCATCTTGCTTTTTGTGGGCAAGGCTGACAGGGTGTATGGAGTCTCCTGGCCCTCCTCCTCCAACTCTTGCACTGATATTGAAGCCTGAGCCTTGTTCCCCAACCTGGAAGCTGGCTTCCACAGCTGTCTCTGCATTGGCTTCTGTCTGCATTATCCCTGTCTGGAAGTGGCTGTCAGCTCCCGCCTGGAGAGGAAGACCAGACAGCACCAGGAGCAGGATTGGTTCTGGAATGCTAATCTGGCTCCATGGTGACCTATCCGGGTCTGGGCATCACAGGCACCAGCCTCTGGTTCCCTCTCCAGGCCACAGGGAGAACTGCAGGAAGGCTTATTCCACTGCAGGCCCAGGCCTGAAGACAGGGAGGTCAGGCTCTCGAGGGTTAAGCTGTCCATGTCCTTCCTGCCTTTGCACAGATGAGTCACTTCTAACTCCCACCACTTTCCTCACAATTACACAGCTTGGCTTTGGCCACCCAAGACTTAACAGCTTCGTTGCAGTCCTGGCTCTTGTACTAATTAATTGCCAGCATTGTCCTTTCCCACTGCCTCCACGCGAGTTCCTCTCTGCTCGCTGAACACTGCTGCCTCTAGCAAACTATAGCCACCACCCAGGTTGATCAACATCACACACACACAACCTCTGGATTTTGTTGTAGGGAAGATGACTGGCCATGGGCTGACAGGAGCTGGAGAGCAGGTAAGGCAGGGTAACCTCCAGGGGACAGGAGACTGAGGGCTCCAGTCACCCCAGCCCTCCCTCCTTAGCCTCTGCAGTAGCATACAGGTTACTGAGTCCTGACTTTGTTGAAGCTGAGGCTTCAGCCTATTTGGAGATGCCCCCTGTGTCCAGGACGTGCAGACCTTTCAGCTGGGCATGGCACTTCAAAGCTTTTCCTCAATGCAGACCTCGGGCAGCGTCAGCCATTGCTTAAGCCCAGGCTGTGCCTTGTAGCTCAAGAGGCTTCTCTGGTGAATTGATGGATGGGGGCAAGTTTACTTTTTTTGGTGGTACTGGCAACTGAACTCCTGGACATTTGGGCCACAATGTCCATCGAATAGGAGCCTCCCTTGCACCTGCCAGCCTAGATGAACTCTGTACACCAGGACACCTGGCCTGAGTTAGAGCCTGGGTCCTGCCTGTCAGGCTGATCTTAGGATCCATGAAGAATCCGAGGCCTGCCAATGGTTGTGGCAATGTCACCACGAGGGCAAAGGCCACCAGGCACCATGGCTGTTTTATCAGAGCTGCGCGGGGGTGGGCGTTAACAGTGCAGAGGGCAGTGGGGAGAGGTGGGAGCGGGGAGCCTCTGCCCTACTTCATGCTACCCACTACTCTTCCTAGTATTTAAATCTGGTGACTCACACCTGCAATCCCAGCGACTCAGGAGCCTGGAGAGCCAAGGATCATAGTTCCAAGCCAGCCCAGGCAAGAAAGCCTGTGAGACTCTTATCTCCACTAAGCTACCAAAAAAGCTGGACATGAAGCTGTGGCTCAAGTGCTAGACTTGAGCAAAAGTCTCAGCAACAGTACCCAGGCTCTGAGTTCAAGCCCCAGGATGGGTACATGTGTGCACCTCTCTGCATGATCTGTGAGAGTACAGACACTGCAGAGTCAGCTTTGACAAGGACAGCATGCATGCAGGGGTAACTTGAAAAAGAAAATCAACAGTCTGTTTTATTGTTGAACCAACAGACCAGCCACAATCTTGAAGGAAGGGCCATGCTAACAACAGCCATCATCAAGCAGTAAGACAGAGGCAGCGCCACGCCTGGTCTCCAGTGCCAGGCTCACTTCATGTTCTTCACGAAGTCCTCCCCCTTCTTGATGGAGGCTTTCAGCTCAGGAATGGCCTCGGCGATCATCTTCTCCTCAAATGGGGACACCTTGCCGATGCCCAGGTTCTTTTCCAGGCCCTTTTTCTGCAAGAAGGGAGGAGCAGGCGACAGCTGGAGCAAGCCCCACAGAGCCACCCATTCTCATGTGTCACCCATCAGAAACTCCAGGAGAGACCACTGGCACTTGCTCTCAGGAGTGCCAAGCCAGATTGGGCACATGAGATTCCATCTCAACAAAGTTTTAGGACTAGGAGCATGGATCAAGTGGTAGAGCCGCTGCCTCACAAGTACTTGGGTACTTAAAGAAGTCCCAAACCAAGTAAAACAGCTTTAAATAAAAACAAAGGGAGTTGGGAATGTGGTTTAGTGGTAGAGTGCTTGCCTAGCATGCATGAAGCCCTGGGTCCAATTCCTCAGTACCACATAAACAGAAAAAGCCAGAAGTGGTGCTGTGGCTTAAGTGGTAGAGTGCTAGCCTTGAGCAAAAGAAGCTCAGGAATAGTGCCCAGGCCCTGAATTCAAGCCCTAGGGCTGGCAAAACAAAGGATGTCCCCACAGACCTGGCCTGCCCTACCTCCCCTGGGCTTGGGCTCCAGCCAGGTCATCCCATGTGCCTTGAACAACTCCATTCCCCGAGTTTCCTCATCTACTTCCCAGAAGGCTGTGTGCTTAGTGCAGCAGCTGGCCAAAAATGTTCTCGTCATTAGCAGCACTTCCTTTTTTTTTTTTTGGTTGGTCATGGGGCTTGAACTCTGGGCCTGGGCGCTGTCCCTCAGCTCTTCAGCTCAAGGCCAGCGCTCTACCACTTGAGCTACAGCGCCACTTCCGGTCTTCTAGTGGTTTATTGGAGATATGAGTCTCACGGTCTTTCCTGCCTGGGCTGGCTTTGAACCGAGATTCTCAGATCTCAGCCTCCTGAGTAGCTAGGATTACAGGCGTGAGCCACCAGCGCCCGGCAGCACTACCTTTCTCGACTATACTTATGGCTGGTCCCTTTCCTAAGCAGTTTAGAACCTGAAATATTTTTTCCCCTGGTTTTGACCAAGGGTCTCAAATTATAGACCAGGCTAGCCTTGGAGATCCTCCTGCTCTATATCCTGAGTGCTGGGATTATAGGCATATGTCATTATGCCCAGGTAGAAGAAACACTTGTCGCCTCAAATGGAATATAATTAAGCAGATAAATATCTGGGCACCCATGGGCAGCTGCTGAAATCAGCAAGGGCCACCCAGCCTTTCCTATGAATACTGGTGTTCCTCCTTAAAGTATGGCCCAGAGACAAAAGTTGTCAGAAAGCCATCAGTGGCTCTTAGTCATTGTCACTTCCCCCACAGAGCCCAGCTTGGTCAACAGCCCCAGCAGAGCTCCAGGGCGACTGCCCTGCTCTTGGGTGTAGCCCCAGCTCCTCCCCATACTGTATGGTACATGGGATGGTACGCACCCCCAGCAGCAGGGGCGTGGAGAAGTAGGTGCAGTCCGTCTCCTGTGACTTCACGAAGGAGCATTCCACAACTCCTTCCTTCCCATTCATCGCGTCCACCAGGGAGAAGACGAAGCGGGCACCAGCATAGGCCATGGACAGGGTGGCAGAGCCTAGGGAGCAAGGTGTCTCAGCCCAGCTGCTCCTGGGCCCCCACGTCACCCCTCCACCCTGCCCCTGGGACGGGTGAACTGCCTTCTCTAGGGCCTTCAGTGCCGGCAGATGAAGCATAGCCAACCCCGCCCTCAACAGCCAGGGATAAGCAGCCCTTCTGCCGCTCCCATCCCCCAAGACCCCAGATGTCTAGCTGAGACTTCACCTGCCCCTGCTTTGGCCTTCACCACCTCTGTGCCCGCCTCCTGGATCCTCCCAGTGAGTGCCGCCAACTGGTCTTGAGGGAAGTCCACCTTGGGAGTACACTGGAAGCCAGGCAGGTCATGTGAGCAACCTGTTCACCCTGGGGCCACACCCCAGGCCCCCCCTCAGCCCTTCTCCACCCTGATGCCACACCTCCAGAGCCCCCTCAGGGATGCAGGGGAGGGGAGGGAGGGTGCTGGGGATGGAGCCCTGGCCTTTATGACATGTGCTAGGCAAGTACTCCAAAACCTACAGAGAGGTCCAAGACAAGGCAACCCTGCTAATTGGCCTCAGTGAGTAGTCACTTTCAAAGAACTTCTTTTATTTTGGAAAGTCTGGAGGGAAAACATAACGTATGCAAGCATGCACGCACACACCTGGGAGATGAGGGGGATGATGGTCTTCCCAGCATGGCCACCGATGACAGGAACGCTGACTCGAGCTGGATCCAAACCCTGCAAAGAGAAGTGACACTCCGCTGAACTGTCCACATGTTCCGAGCCACCATGCTCCCAAGTGTCTGTGGCTAGGTACTTCTAACCTGAAAAAACTCTGATTGGATGATGGCAGGGAGGTGAGCAGCCCCTTCCTCTGGGCTGAAGAGGCCAGAGCTGGTAGGAAGGAAGGAAGGAAGGAAGGAAGGAAGGAAGGAAGGAGGGAGGGAGGGAGGGAAGGAAGAAGGGAAGGAAGGAGGGAGGGAGGGAGGGAAGGGAGGGAGGGAAGGGAGGGAGGGAAGGAAGGGAGGGGCATACTTTGGAGAGCTAAGGACTGATGCTGACTGGGGGCAGTAGTCACATGATCGGCAGACCCTGTGTCTGTGGCATGAAGGACCAGCCCTGTGCTTAAACAGTGGCTCAGGGAACACCTAACTAGCTGTGAGAAGTAGGCACAGCCAGCCAGAGAAGATTCTAGATTGAAAGGAGTGGGGAGGGCAGAATGCAGCACACACTAGAATGTCAGAAGTTGGTAAGACCACACCTGAAACTTCAAGATACACAGTCACTCTGTTTTGCCAGTCCTGGGGCTTGAACTCAGGGCCTGGGCACTGTTCCTGAGCCAGTGCACTACCACTTGAATCCCAGTGTCAATTCTGGCTTTTTCTGTGTATGTGGTACTGAGACTCGAACCCAGGGCTTCAGCATTCAAGGCAAGCACTCTACCACTAAGCCACATTCCTAGCCCCCCCCCCCCCCCCGTCAGCTTGACATGGCTCAGAAACCTTCTAGAATATCAGGTGCCTGTAACAGAACCTTCTGCAAGCACACTGGTGCGCCTGTGGCCACCAGACCTGCAGCATGACTGGTGTGATGTGGACACAGTTTTAATGGTCCACTAGCAGCCATCACATAAGCTGCACAGCTGCTAGGCCTTACTCTCTGCTCTGGGCCGTCCTGGTCCTTCCTTGCAGATTCCAGCACATTCCAGACGTACCTGCAGGCTCCTTGTCTCTCAAGTAAAGCCCCTTTACCACCCCAGCCACATCCTAGGGGTGTCCACTGCCCAAGTTCAGGTGGGGTCAGTACTGCATGGCACACATGGCACCAGGCATGTGTAGGACATTTACTCCCTCTTCCCAGAGGCCCGGGGCTCAAGAGTAGAGTGTACCTTTTGGTCCTCGGGGAAGTGCTTCTGCAGGTTTTGTGAGCAGGAGTAAAAGGTAGCAGGACTCAGACTAGGTGCCAGTGACAAAGCAAATCCACCTCCACACAAACTAGCAGCTGAGTTCAGCAGCCATACCCAGGCAGCTGGCAGGCCCAGAACCCACAAGCCCAATCTAATGACCAGGTGGGGACAACAGCTGGGATCTCTGGACTTCCAGTTTGCTGACTGCATGAGCCTTTGTCTAGGGACCAGCGGGTACTTGTTTGGGGGTCCAGAGCATGGGGAAGAGGGGGAGCCCAGGGAAGTCAACCAGGCTGAGGGCAGCAGGTGCAGGCCACATAGCAGCTGGGCAGGAGTGAGGCACTGATTCTTTACAGAATGCAGGACCCCTTTTCCGTGGTGGGGCAACGACCCCTGGGTCCCTGTCCTGCCATCTGCTGTGTCTCTGCCTGGGCAGAGGAAGCTAAGAAGCCACAGGCAGCAAGGATACCGCACAGCTTACCTTCAGCTCTGCCACGAACGTATTGGCTCGCACGATGTCCAGGGTTGTCACGCCAAAGATCTTGTTAGGGTTGTACACGCCATGCTTCTTGAACACCTCAGCCGTAATTGGGATGGTGGAGTTGACCTAAGATACCCGAGATAGGCATAAGAAACTGAGCAACAGGGGCCATCTGCTGAGACTGCTGGCAGGCTGGATGCCACAGCCACCTCACATGGGCAGAGTCATCTTTATGCCAGGACATGATCCCAGGGAGCTGTTACCTTCTGATATGTCACCACACTCCAGGGCACCTCTGGCTAGATGGAGGCTAGCCAGGCTGAACCAGGCTTTTGATTCACTAGTTTTCCTGTATGAAAACTCCATGCTGTAGCTGCTGGAGCCTGGGCTCCAGTATGACTTTCCCTTAGAATCTGTGAGAGTTGAAAGGAAACTTTGGAGACTGCTTCCCGGAGGTCAGAGCAGAACTGCAAGGTTTCTATGATTACTACTGGCTCCCAGCACAGACTGCTGCCATCTTGCAAGGTAGGCAAGTGGGGTATGACAGGACCCCTTCTGAGGCCAGGAGCAGGTGTACACTCAGATGGCTGTCCTCAGTCCCTTCCCTGCACTGTCTTACAGACCCTCATTGTACTCCGGGAGCCACAAGCTGGGGACCACAGCTGTCCTCTACATGTGGCATAGCTGTCCTCTACATGTCCAGAGGGGCCAGGGCAGCTGTGTGTTAACAGAGATCTCTAGGTGTAAAGAGACAGGGATAGTGGGGTCTGAACTGTGCACCCCAAGTAGAATACAACACAAAAGGATTCCACAAGGGCTAGGAATGTGGCTTAGTGGTAGAGTGCTTGCCTAGTGAAGCCCTGGGTTCAATTTCTCAGTACCACATAAACAGAAAAAGTGGGGGGGGGGAGAAGGGGCGGTGTAGTTGAGGAGGTGGGAGGGAAGGGATGGTAGGGGAAAGACGAAGGAGGAGGCAACAATGCTGGATAAGAAATGTACTCATGGGGCTGGGAAGGTGGCTCAGTGGTAGAGTGCTTGCCTTGCATGCCTGAGGCCCTGGGTTCGATTTTTCAGCACCACATAAGCAAAGAGCCGGAAGTGGCACTGTGGCTCAAGTGGTAGAGCACTAGCCTTGAGCTGAAGAGCTGAAGGACAGCGCTCAGGCCCAGAGTTCAGGCCCCACGACCGAAACCCCCCCCCAAAAAAAATGTACTCATTATCTTGCTCATGTAAGTGTAACCCCTCTGTATTTTCACAATAAAAAACTTATTTAAAAAAGAAAAAGCCAGTAGTAGTATTATGGCTCAAGTGGCTGAACACTAGCCTTGAGTACAGAGAGGCTCAAGGACAGAGCCCAGGCCCTGAGTTCAAGCTCAGGACTGGTTAAAAAAAAAAGTCAACAGGCTGCCACAATCATGACTGAAAGGACACATTTTAGCCAGGTGTAGTGGTGCCTGCCTGTAATCCCAGCTCTTGGGAGGCTGAGGAGGATTGTGACCTCAAGCTAGCCTGGGATACAGGCTGGTGAGACCTTGTCTCAAAACAAGTTAATCTCTTATAACATTCACTTGGTTCCTGTCACTCAGGACATTCTCAGGTGGCTCCCTCCCACCCCCAGCCTGAGCATGGCCTAAGGTACACATGCCCTGCCCACACTCACAGGGTTGGCAATGATGCAGATCATGGCTTCAGGGCAATTCTGGGCACAGGCAGCAGCCAGGGTGGCCACGATGGTGGCATTGGTGTTGAACAGGTCATCCCGAGTCATGCCTGCAAGGATCAGCAAGATGCTCATTTGGGATGAGCACTACCAGGTGCCCAGGGCTGCTGCTAGCTGGTACTGGCAATTCCACATGACCTAGAGGCCATGTGAATCTACCTTATCTGGAAATAACAGTGTGTCCAGTGACAGGCAGGTGTGTGGGCAGGGGGCAGAGGGAGGAGGGGATGGGGCCAGGACCAGGCAGGTGGCTAAGGATAATCAGGGATTAGTGTATGCTTGTAGGTGTGGTCGCGTGCACATGCACATGCGCACACGTGCGCAGGCACACACACACCCCACCCCCACAAACACACACACACACACAGGCCCAAAAGGGACCAGTGAAATCCAGGGCATGGGTGAGACAACAGGGCATGGAGACAACAAATTTAAATGTCAGGCCGATGTGTGACCCCGTCCCTGGACAGTGGGGAGCCTTTGGATGTTTTCTGTGGCTGAGCATGGGATGGGATTAAATCCTTTCTCAGCACATGTGCAGGGAGACTAGGGCAAAGCTTTCTAACCTACCGGGTTTTCTGGGGACTCCGGCCGGGATCACCACCACGTCACATCCTTTCAGGCAGTCTGGCAGCTGCTCAGGTCCAAGGAAACCTAAAAGCACCCAAGGGAGCAACCTCACCTTTCCTGACCCGCAGAGGCTCTGCCTCCAGGGGAAAGGCTGAGAAGCACAGCCTCGACCAGTAAGGTGACAGCTCCTGCCTGAGAAGGCCACATGGAGGGCCCCCAGTGAGCCTCCAGTCCCAATAAAAGCAAAGCCAGGCAGTCATTTGCTCATCCTAGCTGGCTTGCTTGCATTGCTGTCTGGGCCAGCTCTACAAACCTCCTCAGACCAAAAAAGCCAGATACCTTGAAATGTCTAGGCTGATAAACAAGGACTCGAGTTTTGGGGGGGGGGGGTCTATTTTGTTTCATCCCATTTTATCAGGGAACCTACTGTCTAAAATCTACTTGGTTGTGACTTTCATCACTACAAGTGCTCTAAGAAACTAATAACTCGGGGCTGGAAGGTGGCTCAGTGGTAGAGCGCATGCCTTGCATGCATGAGGCCTTGGGTTCGATTCTTCAGCACCACATAAGCAAAAAGAAAAAAGCCAGAAGTGGTGCTGTGACTCAAGTAGTAGAGCGCTAGTCTTGAGCTGAAGAGCTGAGGGACAGCGCCCAGGCCCAGAGTTCAGGCCCCACAACCAGAACCCCCCCCCAAAAAGAAATAACTCAAAAGAAAATGGGAGAATGAATTTGAGGAGCCAGGAGAGGCTCAGTCACCCCAGTGAACCCATGGGAATGAGCAGCTCAGTCTTCTCACCAGGGAGGTGCTGCCAAACATGGCTGTCATCCTCTTGGGGAAACAAAAGCACCAGCAGGGCCTTCCCAGTGCAGTGCGAGCCCAGAGACCTCCCGCAATCAGCATTCCAAGAAACAAGTGCACAAAGACATTGATCGCAGCTCACCAGCAGCCCAAAGGTCAACAGAATGTGTAAATAAATAATAAAGTATAAGACACTTTAAAAATGGTTTTACCTAGATTTTGGAGATCTGCAAAACTGACAGACTGTGAAGGCTGCATTACCTGGACGTCTACCAAGTGGCCTATGACTAGTGGTGGCGATGCTTAGGGGTATCAGGGGTAAAGGAAAGGCAGCCTATAGGATGGGAGGGAATATCACCTCACCACCTCCAGGGAGCTTCTTGAACTTGCCCTTCCTCACACTACTTTTCAAATCAGACAAAATACAATTGGCAAGATCAGACCCCCCCCCCTTGTTTTCTAAAAGATAATGCTACTTACATTTCTGTGAACCCAAGTCTTAAATATTGTAGTCCTTTGTAAAATTTAATTCTACAATTAACACGAGAGCCCCATGTTCTTAAACCTCTGGTCTCACCTGAGATCTAGAGTTGGGATCTTGTTCTACAGAGGGAGGGCAGGGTCTCGGAAAGTGAGTCCCATACCTTTCACTTTTGCTCTGGTCTCAATGTGGCTCAGGTCTGCGGCCACCCCCGGCGTGTGAGCGATGTCGTAGAGGGTCAGGCGGCTCACTAAGGGGCTGTTCTTCAGGAGGAGGGAAAGGGGCTGCCCGATTCCTCCAGAAGCTCCAAGCACAGCTACTTTAGCATTGTTCTAAAAAGAGGCACAGGGAAATACTCAGGGCAGAATCCTCATTGAAAAGGACCCAGATGGTAGCCTACAAAATCTGTCACTGGGCTTCTTTTGCTAAGTGGTGTCAAAACAAGATACACTTGTGTGTGCACCAATGTTACTGTGGAAGAATTCTGGTCATTCCCTCCAGAAGTCCAGTTCCAAGTGGGGAGAACTCAAGTGAGGGGAAGCTGTGACACTTGGGTCAGACATCCAACATTCTGTGGAGCTAGAGCAGCAGCTTCATCCAATCAGGCATCTGGCCTGGCAAGAGCATCCTCACCTTCAAAGTGCAGCTTTAAAAACTAAACAGAGGGGTGGGAATGTGGCTTAGTGGCAGAGTGCTTGCCTAGCATGCATGAAGCCCTGGGTTCAATTTCTCAATACCACATACACAGAAAAGGCCGGAGCCAGGCACCAGTGGCTCATGCCTGTAATCCTAGCTACTCAGGAGGCTGAGATCTGAGAATCGCAGTTCAAAGCCAGCAATTAACCACCAGAAAACTGGAAGTTGCTCAAGTGGTAGAGCACTAGCCTTAAGCTGAAGAGCTGAGGGACAGCTCAGAGTTCAAGCCCCACGACCGACAAAAAAAAAAAAAAAAAAAAGCTGGAAGCATCGCTCAAGTGGTAGAGTGCTATAGATAGCCCCTCACTTAGGTCTGTAAGTGATCAGTCCCACAGGGTCCATGAGGGGATAGACCAGGAGGGTGAGCTCTCCTCAGATCTTGTTTCTACATGGTTAACAGCTCACATTTACAACAGGGGCCTAAGCAGTGGGACCTACACAATGCACTAGAGAAATCTGTATCACAGCTGTTAGCTCTTAGAGATCTCTAAAGATTTCCAAAATTGCTGAGTTGCAAGTACCAACTGTTTAGCCACTGTTGAGAAAATGCCCACATGAAAACTGTTACTGCATTTATAAATTTGCTTTAAAAGTTAGGCCTGTGCTGGGTACTAGTGGCTCACACCTGTAATCCTAGCGATTCAAGAAGCTGAGATCTGAGGGTCCTGCCCAAGCAGGATAGCCCATGAGACTCTCATCTCCAATTGATGCAAAGCTGGAAGTGGAGCTATGGATAGTACCCAGGTCCTGAGTTTAAACCCCTAGGACTGGTGTGTGTGCAAATATACACACACCAAAAAAAAAAAAAACAAAAACAAAAAACCACCTGTGACGGTTTCTTCTTCTGCATTTCCATTACTAGCCTTGACTGGGAGATTGCCTCCTCAGTAACCAAGTTCACAGGTGTGTGCTCCCCTTCACACATCTTTTAATGAAAAGGCCTAACTATGTAGCCCAGACTGGCATGGAACACACAATCCTTTTGCCTCAGCTTCTGAAGAGTGCTGAGATTGTAGACCTGTACCACCACACCACCTCATTTCTACAAGGCTGTTCCCCCATCTGCCTGGGAAACTCTGCAGGATGTGATCTCTGCTTCCTTCTGAGCTACACTCAAAGGTCATGTTCCTGATTGAAAATCATAACCCTCTTCACTTTTTTTCTTTCTGTGTACATCACTAAGACACTTTATTGTTTGGGTTTTTTTAACTGTTTTTTTTTTTTTTTGCCTTTTTTAGTACTGGGGATCGAACCCAGGACGTTGCACTTGCTAGGCAAGCGCTTTGCCACTGAGCTACATCCCAGCCCACACTAAGACACTTAATAATGAAGGATACAGGAAGATAATTAAAATGTACAGTTCTATGTTTTATACACTGGACATTAGTGCCTAGGCGAGATGCCTCCAAAATTAAGCCATTCTGGCCTGGACATGCCTGGAGTGGAAGAATGGTTTTGATCATGAAGTGTAGCCCTTCCTCAGCACTGAAAAAGGCAAGAATCCAACCATCTCCCCACTCTTGCTTCCTTTCTTCCCTCTTCTCTCTGTTCTGCTGCCCCTCTTGCTCAGTACTAGTCCTCAACCCCTCCACCTGACCTCAACTCATTCACTGCTTTAATTCATTGCACCTGAACCTCTTCTCACCTGGGTAGTTATTCCCTGAAGCACTTATTCTCTGCAACTAGTTATTTGTATATTGTTCAACTGAATGGCTGTATAGAAAACTGAAGGACATCACCTAAGCCATAAGAAACGTGGTGGTCTCCTTAGTAATCTTTGGGCATGGCAATTTAGAAGCAATGCAGGCACCTACTGGGTTCTCAAAACTTTGGCTGTACTGAATTCACCGGGAGCACCTGGTGAGAATTCCGGGGTGCACGAAGGAACCCCGGGCCACTGAAGGAACATTATCACTCTCCTAGAAGACGGCTAAAAATAGCCTAGGTTTCAGTGGTCCTAGGCTAAGTCAGGAACTGTCAAAACACTTGGGGAGCACGCTCGGCCCCCCCCAAAACCAGGAAAGAGTCACCAAAAGGTTCTTAATTGAAAAAAGACTCTTGAGGCTCTTAAAGGGAAGGCCACTGACAGTTGTGATCCCGCGGGTCGACCCTCACCCTCGTGACTTCCGGACCCTCCCGACTGTGGCGTGCGCACCACACATCCTCCCACGGCCGCACAGCCGTCACGGAGGCTGCAGGTCTAATTACAGTGAAAGCGGCGGCAACCGCAGCGAAGGCCCAGGCCTGTCCACCCCGGGGCTCGCAGGCCGGGAGCGGACCCCACGGGGGGGACGAGCTCCCCGGAGCTGGGCGGCCTCGCTCCTCTCCCGGGCTTTGCACCCAACACTTGCGAAGGGCACCGAGGCTGGCCTCGCGCGCCCCGGCGTCCAGCCCGCGCCCCGCGCGGCCCAGGCTGACTCCGGGAGTCCCCGCGGGTGTGCGCGGGGCCGGGACACACGGGAGCCGGGCCGGGGACGCCCGACGCTCGCCCGCCTCTCAGGCCTCGCCTACCTGGGCCGAGGTGCTGAAGCCGCGGCGCAGAGCGGCGCCGGCTGGCCGGGCGAGGGCGGACAGCATGGCCGAAGCGAGCAGGAGGCCGGTGAGGAGCGGACGGCTGGGCGGTGACTCCAACGACCTCCACGCTGAGCCGGGCCGCCAGCTTTAGCTTGGCTAAATCTCGCGAGAGCAGCCCGCCTTCCGGCCCCGCCTGCCTGTAGTCTCGCGAGAATACGGTCGTTCGCAGTCTCCGCGGTTGTAGTGGGAGGTTGTCGCTCCCGGCTTCTCGGCGAGTGACCGGTTTGGGTCGTTTTGAGCTTCGGGGTTGGCTGCGTGGCCAGTGGGGAGCCGCGGTAGGAGCGGGGCTCGGGGGAAACAGTCCCCCGCACCCAAGAGCGGAAGAGGACGGTCTTTAGACAGGCAGCGCCTTAGAAGAGACATTTCCCAGGTGGGGCTCTAGGCCGAGGCCCCGACGCGGAGCCCGGTAGGGGTCACGACCCACGACCTCAGTCAGGCCCCCCCCGCCCCCTTTCCTGGAGCGAGGCCGGAGGGGGATTCTGGGCCAAGAGTCTCTGGACTCCCCTGCCCAGCTTGGCTTCGAACCGCCATCCTCGGATCTCGGTCTCCTCAGTGGTTGGGGTTACAGGCCGGAACCGCTGGTGCCCAGCCGAGCTCAGTGAATTTGCGCCGTCGACCCGAGCAACGTAGAACTAGCACTGCGGCGCTGAGGAAGTTTCTCCTCAGTTACGAATCATAAGGTCCACCCCCTCTCTTCTGCGTTCTGGGCATACAAAGGCATTTCTGACCCCGTCTTTGGCTCATGTCGGGAATCCTAGTTTCTCAGGAGGTAGAGATCTGAAAGGGACTGTGGTTCGAAGACACACAAAGGACTGGGACCATGTTCCCAGTGGCAGACTTGAGGCCCCGACTTCAGTCCTTAAAGAACGTCGTTCAGCGTTGCCTGGGCCAAGGCATAGCATAGCAGCCCGGAATCTCAAAAGTTCAGAGTCAAGCCGGGCGCTGGTGGTTCACACTGTAATCCTAGCTGCTCAGGAGACTAAGATCCGAGAATTGCAGTTCAAAGCCAGCCGGGGAAGGAAAGTTTGTGAGACTTTTCAATTAACCACCAGAAAACCAGAAGTGGTGCTGTGGCTTAAGTGGTAGAGTGCATGCCTTGAGCTAAAGAACTGAGGGACAGCACCCAGGCCCAGAGTTAAAGCCCCATGATCGACAAACAAACAAAAATTCAGAGTCAAGTGTAGCAATTACTTTGAGCAATATGAAACCCAGATGAACCAGGGACAATGATTAGAGAAGCAAGATTGGGAATATTATGGCTGCCTTGCTCTTCCCTCCCCTGCACTTGTTAGTGAGTTACTAAGGTTTTTCCTGCCTAATCTTTATCTATGAAAAAGAGCCAAGCCTGGCACTGGTAGCTCACAGCTATAATCCTAGCTACTCAGGATGCTGAGATGTGAGGATCACAGTTCGATGCCAGTCCAGCCTGTAAAGTCTGTGAAACTCATTTCCAATTAATCACCTGAAAACCAGAAATGGCATTGCAGTTCAAAGTGGTAGAGCTCTAGCCTTGAGCAGAAAAGCTTAGGGACAGCACCCAGACCCTGAGTTCAAGCCCCATGACTAGCGACAACAAAAAGATCCAAACCTATTTGGCCATCAAAGAGCCCCGTCTAGTGGGAGTGACAGGCAAACCATAAACACCTGTTTGGGTAGCAGTAGAAGAACTGATGCTGGCTGTGAGAATCCTGGAGGTGAATCTAACCTATGGTGGAGGTGGAAGCTGGGAGAGGACCTTCTACACAGAGAAGAGTGGGTGGTATTCTAGGAGCCCCAGAGGTGGGAGCAATCTCATGCCTAGAAAGCGGAGCTCTCAAAGGAGGCCTGAAAAATCTGGCCCTTTACAAGGGAAAAGAGGAGCCAGGTGCAGGTGGCTCAGGCCTGTAATCCTAGCTACTCAGGAGGCTGAGATCTGATGAGGATAACAGTTCAAAGTCAGTCCAGGGAGAAAAGTCCATGAGACTTTATTTTCAGTTAACCACCAAAAAGCTGGAAGTATAGATGTGGCTTAAATGCTAGAACACCAGTCTTGAGTGGAAAAAGCTCGGACAGCACCCAGGATCTGCCTTTAAGCCCTGGTACTGGCACAAACAAAACCAGTTTTGTTTTTTGTTTTTTTTAAAGGGACCCAGGCAAGCCTGGAGGTGGCAAAGCATAGGCCTGTATTTGGATGCAGGTAACTTCTGTTGGAGCAAGACACTAGCACATGCAGTGTCCTTGCTCTTATCACGATATGTGTTCTCTGGTAATCTTTTAACTTTGTATCTTGGGGTCAGGAACTGTACCTTCCATCTGTCTTTAGTGTCCAACTTACGACTGGCCTAAGAGTAGACCTCTGAAAGAGCTGGTTTTAGATGAGGTTAGAACAAACAGATGGTGCAGGGCAGGGAGACTGTTTAGGAGACTACCATGAGATGGTGAAGCTCAGAGTGGTGGTGGTGGCCACAGAAATGGAGAGAGTGGAGACCATGGGGGCAGGTCTCAAGGCAGAATGGATAGGGGTCTGTGCTTATTCGGGGTGGAGGAATGGAAGGGATATGGAGCCCCCAGGCTGGGAGAAGTAGTCAGGGGCTTTGTGGAAAGGGGTCTGGCCAGAGAAAAAGAAAAGCCCATTTTAGATGGGCTGAATGGGGGTGGAAGGGTGGTGATTTGGCATATAGAAGTATGTAGGCATGGCTGGGACTGTGGCTTAGTGGTAGAGTGCTTGCTTAGCATGCATGAAGCCCAGGGTTCAATTCCTCAGTACCACATAAACAGAATAAGTCAGAAGTGGTGCCGTGGCTCAAGTAGTAGAGTGCTAGCCTTGAGCAAAAGAAACTCAGGAACAGTGTGCCCTCAGTTGAAGCTGGGGACTGGCAAAAAAAAAAAAAAAAAAGCATATGGGCAGTTGGACAAACAGATGGGATTATTCCAAGGAGATGGGATTGAGACTAGAGGGGTCAGGGCTGAAGTCATCCCTATATATTAATTGAGTCAGGTGCCGGTGGCTCATGCCTGTAATCCTAGCTACTCAGGAGGCTGAGATCTGAGGATCACAGTTCAAAGCCAGCCTGCGCAAGGAAAGTCCATGAGACTCTTATCTCCAATAAACCACTAGAAAACCGGAAGTGACGCTGTGGATCTAGCGGTAGAGAGCTCACCTTGAGCTGAAGAGCTGAGGGACAGCGCCCAAGCCCAGAGTTCAAGCCCCATGACCGACCAAAAAAAAAAAAAGAATTGAGGCTCTGGGAGAGAAACTGGGGCCACTCCAACACCCCAGTTCAGTTCCTTTTGCATGCCTTCCATGTTGCCATCTCCAAGAGCAAGCACTTGCTACCTCCAAAGTGCTCTTCCTGGGCCACCTTGACTGAGAGACTCACACTCCGCTCCCACCCACCTCCCTATAAATCTCAACATTATCTTCATTGTGTTAGCAGCTGCCATATCTAGCACCAGCTTCCTGGCAGGTGCTGTACTCGGAGCTTTGCATGGATAACTGACATGGAGCAGCAAGGCTGCTGGATGTCACAAAGCAGCATGTGATCATAAGCAGCATTTCGTCTTCATCCTACATTGACACACTTCAGTCATGGTTCTGGGGTTGACTTGGCCTCACACTTGACAAGCGAGTGCTAGACCACTTGAGCCACATTCCCAGGTCTTATGCTTTTAGCTTCTTTTCAGTCATGCTTTTGTCTAGGCATACTTTGGACCTTGATTTCTCCTGCTTCTGCCTCTCCCAGTAGATGTGATTACAGGCATGCACAATGACTTTTAGATCTTTGCCCTTAGATTCTGCTTGGTTACCAGGATGTCCTCACCTCAGTAGTCTACTGTCCCATTCACCTAAATAAACGGAACTTAATTCCTCAATGATAGCCTCCCTTCTTCCTGCCTCTAGCTCTCTGCAGCCTTCTGCACCTGAAGAAGAGAAACTTGACGTCTCTATTTCTTCATCTCCCTCGCTCCTCCATCCCCAGTGGCTTCTGACCTGGCTGGTGCTGATAAACTGGGGTTGTAAGTAGAGATGGGGGTTAGAAGGTTCCCTTTGTCATCTGGTGTTAGTTCTTTTTGAACTCGATTGGAGTTTGAGCCAGTTCATATTGCCATGCTGTGCTTTTGTGAGTCATATCTGCAGTCCTGACCTCATTTATACCTGGCTTCCTCATCTGCATGCTTTCCCCAGCCCTTGGTTTTTAGAATTCTCCACTGGACATAGAGCCTTCATGGGCAAAGTCCCTCTCCTCCTCCCCCCTTTGCCTTACTGAGGTTTGAACTCAGGGCTTCAAGCTAGCTAAGTAGGCCTTCTATTGTCAGGTAGAGACTTGTGTTTTTCTCCCAGGGCTATTAAGAATCTCAGTTCTGGGGTTGGGAAGGTGACTCAAGTGGTAGAGTGCTAGCCTTGAGGTGAAGAGCTGAGAGACAGTGCCCAGGCCCAGAGTTCAGGCTCCATTACTGACCAAAAAAAAAAAGAAAGAATCTCAGTCCTACTTACAGCTCCCAGGTAGCTGGGATCACAGGCTTTGGCCTAAGTTCCATTAACATGATTTCTAGTTGGCCTCTCATTCCTGGCCCACATATTGTCTACCGAAAACACTTAGAGATCCTTGCCCCAGCCACTTGGGGTGTGGCCACTTCCAGTGCAGAGCCACTGGGCCAACATCAACGTGTGCCTGCAAAGTTCCAGTGAGGCCAAGTTATTCTAGAGTTGTATTCTGGTTTCTTGAGTTGGCCCAAGGAAATGGAGATCTATGAATGCTAATGGAGGAAGGTGTTGAGCTGGAGAACTCTGCCTGGAGGGTGCAGGAGGGTGCTCAAGAGCAATGGCTCCAGAACCCTTAAATGTGGCCTAGTTCTAGGCAAGAACTAGAAAATAAGAGAAGTTCTGTGGGGACTGAGCAGTTACAATTCACAACCTGAAGCACATAAACACGCACATGTACAAATTAGCAATTCACTCTTTTTAATTGACTTCTGATTCACATAAAGTGTGAAATGTTCCCTTTCGTTTATTTTTGTCATTCTGGGGTTTGAACTCATACTTGTTAGGCTGGCTCTCTACCACTTGAGTCATGCCTCCAGTCTAGATTTTTTGTGTGCTCATCCTGGGACTTGAACTTAGGCCCTGGGTGCTGTCTTTGAGCTTTTATCCCCAAGGCTAGTGTTCTACTACTTGAGCCACAGCTCCATTTTGGGCTTTTTTGGTGTTTAATTGAAGATAAGAATCTCATGGATTTTCCTGCCTAGGCTGACTTCAAATTGTGATCCTCAGATCTCAGCCTCTTACATAGCTGGGATTACAGGTATGAGCCACCGATGCCCCTAGCCTCTTTGTGACACAGCATTTCACTAGTTTTGTCCCAGCTGACCTCCTGCTGTTACCTGTTGAAGAGCTGGGGTTATATGCATGTACCACCACACCCCCCTGACTCAGAGCCATATTTAGATAAATAAGTTTGACTTGTACTTGTGACTCAGGAAGTCCAAAGGGTTCAGTCCTATTCGAGTCAGACAGCTAGAAGGCAGTGGACAGGGGCTTCCAAGAGCTAAACGTGGCCCATGGCAGCTGACTAGGGTGGCAGGAAGTGAAAACAGAGCCAAGTGTAAAGCCAGGTCAGGACCAAGGACCTGACAAGGAAGGTGGTGCTGAGCCTGGTAGCCTGTAACCCACGCTCAAGGCCAGCAAGGACAAGTTTCAGGGCAACTTGGCCAAAAAGAAAGAAAGAAAGAAAACAAATGTGGGCCAGGTACCAGTGGCTCATACCTGTAATCCCAGCTACTAAGGATGAGATCTGAGGATCTAGGTTCAAAGCCAGCCCAGACAGGAAAGTCTATGAGAGACTTATCTCCCATGAACCATCAAAAAGCTGGAAGTGGAGCTGTGGCTCAAGTAGCAGAGCACTATCCTTGAGCATAATAGCTCAGGGACAGCACCAAGGCCCTGAGTTCCTAGGACAGGCACCAAGGGGGAAAAAAATGTTGTACGGGGTCTAAGCTCACCACAGGAGAAGCCACACTTGAGGAGACTAGCCTTGTGGTCCAGGAAGATGGTTGCTTTTCCCCAGTCCTCTTCTCCAGTAATGGAACTTGGAGACCCACTTCCTCCAGGACCGCAAGGGCACCTCTGATAGCAAATGCGCCTGAGTGTGCGTTTGTGAGGAGGGTGGAAATGAAAGCTGGATCTAAGAGAAGGGACAGTGATACAGACAGCTGGTTTCAAGTCTCCACATCTGTCCACAGAGGCAATGCTTAGGACCTTGGCCTCTCCCCTCCTTCCTCCTTTCCTCCCTTCTTTTCTTTCCTTTTTCCTCCCTTCCTCCCTATTTAGCCCAGGCTGGCCTGGAACTTGCAGTCTTTGTGCCTTCCATGTCCCAAGTGCTGGGATTACAGGAGTGCATTACTGCACTCAGCTCTTCTTTTATCAGAGAGACACCATGTCCCACTGATACAGGTTTCAGGTCATCTAGCCATTTTTTTGTTTTTGTTTTTGTTTTGCCAGTCGTGGGGCCAGAACTCTGGGCCTGGGCACTGTCCTTCAGCTCTTCAGCTCAAGGCTAGTGCTCTACCACTTGAGTCACAGCGCCGCTTTCGGCTTTTTCTGCTTATGTAGTGCTGAGGAATGGCACCCAGGGCCTCATGCATGTAAGGCAAGCGCTCTACCACTGAGCCACCTTCCCAGCCCATCTAGCCATTTTTATAGAGGTTCAGGTCACATGGACAGAACTGAGATCAAGGCTCCAGGGCTCACACACCTTATCAGCTCCTGCTCTGACTGGGCTGTGGCCTGAGACTCCAAATGGTGTTGTCTGCCATTGGGCCTGTCACTCTCAAAGGTCCTAGAGGAAACTGGAAGGAGGAGAGGGGAGGATAAAGAGAGGAATCAGTCTTTCCTCATCTCTGCGTGTCATGTCCAAGCATTCAGGAAGTGTTGTCTTGGTGTAGCCTGTGTTTCCCGGTAGAGAACAAGGTGCTGGAGAGAGGGGCTGGTTTAGTCCCATCCCTCCCAAGCCTGGGGACCAGGCGTGTGGTATCTCCAGGAACAGTGGGCCAATGCTTCACCAGAAGTACAGTTGTGAGGGGCCCAGGTCTGGCAGCTGAGCACTGGCCCAGACATGCCTGGGCCTGGAGCTTCTGTTGGTGAGCCAAGTGTAGGTCCCGGGAGGCAAGGAGAACAAATGGATCAGGTTGGCTTGGCAGCCCCTAATCAAACATCCTCATTGGCTGTTTTCCCTAAATCCAGACGCATGCGCTGTCTAGAAGGCTGCTCCACCACCCAGTTCCTTCTGCACCGTCCCAGACAGAAGGGGAACTCAGAAGCCCCTGGGGTAAGTGGACCTGAGGCTCCTATAGCGCCTGCGCTGACAGGTAGGCATCCTCTTTTCTTTTTTTCTTTTTTATTTTTTTTTTTTTGGTGGTGGGCCTAGGGTTTGAACTCAGGGACTGGGCACAGTCCCTGAGCTTTTTTTCTCCTCTCAAGGATAGCCACAGCTTCACTTCTGCCTTTTTGGTGGTGAATTGGAGATAGGAGTCTCATGGACTTTCCTGCCTGGGTGGGTTTTAAACGGATCCTCAGATCCCAGCCTCTTGAGTAGCTAAGATTGCAGGCTTGAGCCACGGTTCCTGGCTAGGCTTCCTCTTAAAGATACACTTCCTACTTCTGTTACTTTATGGTGGGATGTCTGCACCTGCAACCCCCATTAGGGTAGGTCATGTCTGTCTTGGTTATGTCCAGTATGTATTATATGGTAGGTGCTCAGGAATTAGTTGGAAAATGACCAGTGAATTGGTGGTCCTGCCTAGTATTATATGAGATAACCTATATTTCATATGTCTATGGTGTCATACTTTGTACTCAGTACTTCATTCTTCTCTGCACTCTTGCCCAATGTTTTGAAACCTTCCTGATTACCTACATTAAGAAGTTGAAGTAAGCCAGGTGACGGTGGCTCATGTGCCTGTATCCTAGCTACTCAGGAGGCTGAGATCTGGGGATCACGCTTCTAAGCCAGCTCAGGCAGGAAAGTCCATGAGACTCTTATCTCCAATAAACCACTAGAAAACCAGAAGTGGCGCTGTGGCTCAAGTGGTAGAATGCTCCCTTGAGCTGAAGAGCTGAGGGACAGCGCCCAAACCCAGAGTTCAAGCCCCATGACCGACAAAAGAAAAGAAGTTGAAGTATATTAAGATTTCAATTCAGTGTCTTATTCTGTGGGCATTCATCTTAAATCAAAAGAAGCCTACTGAGCCAGGCGTTGGTGGCTCACACCTGTAATCCTAGCTACTTAGAAGCCCGAGAGCTGAAGATTGTGGTTCAAAGCCAGCTTAAGCAGAAAAGTCCATGAGACTCAGTTCCAGTAAACCACTCAGAAAAAGCTAGAAGTGGGGGCTTGGAATGTGGCTTAGTGGTAGAGTGCTTGCCTAGCATGCATGAAGCCCTGAGTTTGATTCCTTAGTACCACCTACACAGAAAAAGCTGGCAGTAGCACTGTGGCTTAAGTGGTAGAGCACTAGTGTTGAACAAAAGAAGCTCAGGGAGGGCTGGGAAGGTGGCTCAGTGGTAGAGCGCTTGCCTTGCATGCCTGAGGCCCTGGGTTCGATTCCTCAGCACCACATAAGCAAAAAGAAAAA